GTGGTACACATTTCATGATGCAAGTCGGCGCCAGACTGGACCGTGCCAGCCGGACGGCTTGTTGTGGTGGTATACATTTCATGATGCAGGTGGGCGCCAGACTGGACCGTGCCAGCCGGACGGCTTGTTGTGGTGGTATGCATATCATCATGCAGGTGGGCGCCAGACTGGACCGTGCCAGCCCGACGGGCTTGTAATTCTTGAGTTTGTATGGTCTCCTGTGGGTACACAGAGCCCTCCTCAGGACGGTATGTGACAGCCGACGCGGTAACCATGCGATTATCAACGCCGGACTGCTCATGTCCGTCACGCGAAGGTTGCTCTGCTAGACGCGAGTAAACCATAGGTCTTGAATGAGCGTTTGAATTTTGCGACATCCTAGTGTGGGATCGCATGCACATTTTTCTCAACTGGTTCTCCGACTCACCAGAAGCGGCTCAATCGACTCCACGTCCGGCTGCCGTCGCGCCTGCCGCTCCAGGCGAGCAGCAAGTCGATCCCCTACAGGTGGCGGCATCTTTCTGGGTAGCACTATAGGTGGTAGCACTGTAGGTGGTAGCACTATAGGTGATAGCACTGCAAGTGATGTCACTACAAGTGATAGCACTGCAAGTGATGGCACTACAAGTGGTGGGTGGGACGATTAAATGAGGCACTTACGGACCAGAAGTGGGTACGGAGGCTCCTCTTGTCGCGGAGTGCCAAGAATCTTTAAAAGGCTGATCACTAAGGTAGCCACGTACATCATCGCCGCAAACTGGCACGCTCGTGCCGCAGGCGCTGCCATTCGTGGATTAGGTAGACGTATCATAAGAGATCTATGATTTAGCAGAAAAGCTACATATGTCAATACCATGATACCAGTTACCGAAACTCCCACAGCAGCTAAAGCCTTCATATTTTGGTGAATAAAGAAACCTGGTTACGATCTGCCGTGCAGAGCGGACAAGGCAATTTGCTCAACGTTTTCTAAAAAGATGTCTTGTGAGCCCAAAAGCTTCCAGTGGTCAGCTTCCTGCTGGAACTGCTTCGCGCTGTCGAATTGCCCCATCGGCACTACAGTAGGAATGTTAATCCTGTATGGACATTGATCCCATTGCCCCCCCGCCCGAACGCCCGCCCGCCCGCCCATTGTTATCTCGTGCAATGTCGTCTCGTGCATAATCCGTACCGTGGACCCCCACCGTGGTGTCCGTGTTGCACAGGGCCTCGCCGCACTATACAGTGCGCACTACACAGTGTTCGAAGTCTTACTGGGATTGGCCGCTCCCATGGCCATCATAGGGTTCATGGTTTCCAATATGCTGGGGCCCGTGGTCGAGAGTCCGGTGATGTAGTTCAAGATGTGGGTGTAGCTCCCGCTTGAAAACAGAATTAAGAAGTACCAGCTAAGGGCGCTGATGTAGCCCGCGTCTAGGTCCTGTACGAGTACGCCTCTTTGAAGTATGGGTTTGAATGAGTCTGCGAGAGGGAAAGGCATTTTGGCGACCACACATTCCGAAAAGAGGTAATTGATAAGGTAGGCAAGGCCGGCGTCCAAAATGAGGCTGATAAACTTGTACTTCATGCCACCGAGCATTTGTGTCGGGTCCATTTTGGGCATTGCGGGCTGCTCGGGTGCACTTGACTGCGGGGGTCTAAATAGTTTGCCATCATCGTCGAGTCCTATGTAGTACGCCTTCCGTTGCGACAGTGAGGCAGGCGCAAGTGCCTTGCCAGCGGCTCTAGTCATTCGAGAGACCGAAACCACGTTGCTGCCATGAACTTCACCGAAGTTTTGGAGCATCACGGGAACACCCGACGCTCCACTCTCTAACACCGACAACATGTTCAGTGCTTGCCGAATTATGGCACTGCACAAAGTGATCAGGAATACAGGCAACAACGCCCAGTAGAAAACCTCGTCATCCAGCTGCAACAAAGGCATAAAATAAATCGCTCCAATTATGCACTCCAATTATGGACCGAATAACCAACAAACGAACACGGCAATCGAACACACCGCCTAGCAACACGCCCACGGGGGACCGCTGCATACTTTTGCTAGGATGATTAACACGCGACGGGGACGCGTTGTCGAGAGAAAGGCCGCAACTAATTTATAGATTTAGCATCTGCTGTCTTCGAACCTGCTACCTTCGAACCTTCGCTCAATGAAGTTCCCCGGCTTGAAATTGCTAGCTATCATTACTGCCCTGGAACTGAGGGCCGAAGCGTACGGTGAAGGTTTCTCTCTGGATGGCGCCCGGGCCATGGTACCGCGTCAGCCGACCGGGGACGATATGCCTGCCGATCTCGTCGACGACGATCTGCTCGACGGGATGGAGGCCGATCCCGAAGGAATAATAGAGGCCGATCCCGAAGGAATAATAGAGGCCGATCCCGAAGGAATAACAGAGGCCGAAGGAAATTCTAACAAGTACACTGATGACATCAATACCAGTAAAATAGACAACAACGACATCGTCAGTGTCACTATCATCACCGACGTTCCGGCAGAAGTTGATGCTAGTGCCACACAGCAACACGACGCCTTAGTTGAGCAACAGGGCGAAGAGACAGCCGAGCAACAGGGCGAAGAGACGGCCGAGCAACAAGGCGAAGAGACAGCCGAGCAACAGGGCGACTCAGAAGTGGTACTTGCGCAGGCAGGGGAATCGGAGGCACCCGCCGCGGAAATGGAGACTGACACTGCGACTGAAGTGGATGAGGCAGGTGCACCCGTCGACAACATCGCAGGTCAGGGCGTGCCCGACAATGAGGCGACCGTCTCGAGCGACGCAAATCTGGACCCGGAGATGGTGAGTCCAGCTGACTTCGGGGTGGATGTGGAGGTTGTCGAAGGTCAAGCTGCGGGAGGGGCTGAGGAGGCTGTCGAAGGTCAAGCTGCGGTGGGAGGGGCTGAGGAAGCTGTCGAAGGTCAAGCTGTGGTGGGAGGGGCTGAGGAGGCTGTCGAAGGTC